ACAAACTTTTCCCATGTCCGTTTTAAGGAGTGTCGCCGTCCAGAGAGCCGGTCTCGCACCACCTCATTCTCTCCTCGCCGTCTTCCCGTCCGGACTCGAACTCTGGACACTCGGGCAAGCGGGACCAAGCGTGTCGTTCAAGCCGGGATCGCAAAAGGTGTGGCTCGTGGGGCAACCGGGCAAGAGGGGACTGATGAACACGATCGAGGTATACTACGACCTGATACTGTAGGACGGTGAATGGTGACGAGATGTTCGCTGCTGTCGACAGACAAACGAGAGTAGAGAAACTTCAATAGACAATCAGTCGGACACGCATACAAGCATGTAGATCGTTAAACACATACAATACATACATACAGGTAGACAAACAGATTTGCAGAATCAGAAAGAGCTATAGTCATTATTTATCTATTTGTGCACATGTATGAATATGAGTTAGACAAACACATACAAATGGACATGTGGGCGGACAGACAGGCATACAGACGGATGAACAAAATCATAGAGGGCTAATAGAGGCCTACAGATCGGCAAGCAGACATGCTACAAACACACCGACAGACAAACTGGAGCATATAAAAGTCCGGATCCAGCCGACTGACAAGCCTTTCCGCGGATCCGATCCCCCTTTCTGATATGTCCATCATCTGGCTCCTCGTATTCTTCGGTACCACTTTCGCAACTGCCATCGCTGCCGTTGATGCCGTCCAAGGTAGGACCTAGTTTGTAAGTGTGTTTCAATCAGTTTGACAAAATACTTTTGCCGTCGGGCAGAAGTTCCGAGGCCACCTATTGTTGCCATTGTCATTATTGTTGCTAGCTTTGAGGTAACTTCCCGCTTGAGTGAAGGTGTGTTTGATGCAGAACTGCAAGCATCTATCCCACCAGAAGACGAAGGCTGTAGAGCCAGTTTTCTGCAACATTCTGCAATCTCCGATTCATGGGATCCATCCTGCAGCCCCGTTGTCAGACACAATTTCGCGCAAAAAGCAAGTAGGCTAAACACGTGTGAAGCTTCACATATTTGTCACACACACACGATTTCACATGCCCCACTAGGTCGTCCTTCTTAAGTGTCGACTTGATCACTCCCAAGTGAATGTGATTTTGTCGAATATTGCGTTGACACTGTGTCGATGTATGCAAAATGTGGCCGATAAAAGAGCCTATGTCATTTTGGTGGGGCATCAACAGGTCTAGAACCGGGTAGAGCTAAGCGGCTATTTACTTGCAAAACTAATCAACCCATTTCGTCTTAAATGGCCACTTGTCGAGTTGAATAGAAACCCATGCTGGTTGTATTCTCACCTTTTTCTCCAGCCATGGCTACCAGTCCGAGGTGGCAATCGCGGACGCAGCGATCATCAAAACTGTTCGGTTGACGAATTGGAACCACTCGGATGAAGAGTAGCCATCAATTGACATCTCTCCATACGAAAAAAGATGGTCATTCTGACGATAATTTTGCTTTATTCTCTTTTTACAAAAGGGCAATTTACATAAATTGTGCATCCCTCACACCGGCCATTTCTGTACGGCTGTGGCAGAAATCTGCTTCATTTGCACGAAATTGAGTAGAAGCCTGGAGCACAAAATGGTGACATCTATTTCGTTGATGTCCACATGAAGAGAGAAAAATCACACTTTCTGCAGATCAGACTGTTGCAGGAGGATGTCTTCGTGTGGCCGGACAATCGCCCCGAAAGAAGGATAAAGTATGAATGTTCTCAAAGGCTGTTAAATGGGGAGCGACGATGACAAGAAAATGGTACAAGGCTCTTCAGTTTTGAGGATTATTTTGGGGTCAGTTTCAAAACACAAAATAGCGGAAGCCATTCACATCAACAAGCAAGTAGCAGTCTGAAAGTGGTGAGAAAATATTTTAATAAAAAACCGCTCGGTAGAATTGATGAAAGAGAAGAGATTGAGTCTAGTTAAATTTTCGTCTAATTAAAATCACATATGCTTTTATGCTTAACACAAAAGCGAGGATTTTCTGCCTGGGCCACGAATAAAAGACCATTAAATCTGCTATAAGTTGTGATATGATGAATGACACTGATCGTGCCGGTCTCCCATTTTCGCAATCACATGCACAGACAAGTCGGCATCGCAACAGCTGGAGCGTATGAGTTGCCAATTGACTTTTTGCGAATCTACTGTCAGCTGATTTCGCTCAGGTGGCTCTTCACATTTTCATCGAGACCAAAGAAGATTACTTGTAAGCCGAAAAAAGTTGAATATATGAAGACCAAGATGTTGTGGACGCTGGTATGGTCGCAGGAATGGAGGCCCGAGTGGGATAAGCCCATGGAAAGAGGGGGTGGATAGCAAGTGTGATGAGGTCACACTAGATTTGCCACGAAAGAACACACATTTCGACGAGTGGAATGTGAACAAGTGAGAAGTTGTGATAGGGCGGCAGTGGGAGAAGAGGGTAAAGAGTAGAT